GGGGGGGGGGCGCACTACCTGTCGGTGCAAGCAGGAAGCCCACAGTGTAAGCACTGTTCGTAAGGAGTCATGCGAACTCCTATGTCTAAGGGCTGCCCGGGAAAACGGTGTAATACACTTAAGATGGAAACGCTGTGTGAAAGAGCATACACGCACTGCGTGCCGACACAGGAAAGGAACCCACAGTGCAAGCACCGCTTGTGGAGAACACACAAGGCCCGAGTGCACGTACCGATGGGAGACGCCGACGGATGACCCTCAAGTCGGACCCCTGAGTGGAGGGACTGCACAAGCATGGACCCGTACGTGCAAGAGCTGCCTGGAGAAGCACCCTGCTGTTCACTCGGCGGCGGACGAACCTCCCTTTAGTAGACCTCCCCTTAGTGAAAACAGCCTGGGACCGAAACCGACGAACCTGGACCCGCAAAAATGAAGGCCGCGACGCCCTCCCACGAACCGAAAACGGCCAATTCCTGAATCGACGTGTCAGGTCTGTCCACCCCGATGCCTGGGGAAGCACCCTGCTGTTCACCGGCATGCCGTGCACCGCGTGGCGCCCCCAGGCGAAGCCGCGACGGAGCCCGCCGGCGCGGCGCCCAGTGGCCGCGGCCACGCCCACCCGCCCTGGGCGCACGGGGCGCCCACGAGGCGCCTCTAACGGCCGCACGCCCGTGGAGGCCTCGGCAAGCCCACCAGTCCCCCAGGCAGCACAGGTGCAAGCACTGGCCATCGCTCGGGAGTCCATTCCCTGTGCTTTTTTCGGCTTCGTGCGCGGCTTTTTCGCAGGATGATCCAGGATGCTCCTCAATTCAATGATCCCCGCCGAGATACCAAGAGCACCACTCCCCCAAGCAGCACAGGTGCGAGCACTGTCTAGAGGTGTGGATGCCACGACAATAGACACCCCAACAGTCCTGTCCTTGAATTTTAAAATGTGTTTCAGATGTCGGAAAAATGGTCTAAACATGTAATGTAAATATGTCTTGCACATGCTTAAAACTATTTGGCAGCATGCGTCCTCTCCTTCAATCGACCTCCACAAGTCTGAGGGGAGGTGGGAGGTGGGCCCCGAGTGAGGGGAGCCGTGCGTGCCGAGCGGGGCGGGCGCGCGACATCGCGAGGTGCGTCCTTCGGAACGCGCCGAAGCGCACGGCGATCTCGAAGAGGAACACGGCGCAGAAGAGGTGGTCCATGAAGAGGAACGCGGGGTCCGAGGCGTAGTAGCTCTGCCGGCCACCGGGCCGGGGGGAAGAGAGCGAGGGGGACGGGGGAGGGCACCCTCGCCTCCCAGGCCGACCTCGGCCCAGTCCGTGTGGCGTGCTCAGGCCGAGGCAGCGTGGCGATGCCTGCGCGACGCTGGCAAAGCAAGCAGGGCGAAGCGAACGGGGAAAAGACGGGCGTTGTGTCAAGTCGGGCCTGTCCCCCTGCAGGGGGATGTTCGAGGACAAATGAAAAATAGTCAAAACATACTCCTAAAGGATATATATTAAACAAAAAGTCGTCCCCATGCTATTCTTTACTATTTGTGAATATTCCTCCTGTAGAGGGACAGGCCCGACTCAGGCGTTGTTCGGCCTGGATGGGCACGAGATCTCGGCAGGCTCCTGCTCCTGCTCTATGACATCCTGCTCTTCCTCTCGAGCCAGAGCGGGGCGCGGGACGGCTCTCCCCCGGCCTTGGAGAGGTTCCTGTCGGCGTCGATGCCGATCCACACGGCGCTGAGGCACACCGCCAGCATGGACAGGGAGAAAAACCAGCCCGAGGCCACGACCCTGGCCACGGGAGAGGAGGCGAGCAGAGATGGAGGAGGCAACTCCTGGGAGGCGCTCGTCGGAAAGATTTTTGAGGAGAATTGGGCCCCACTGGGGGGGCTACTGCGCAGGATTAGGCCACGGACCAACCGGGATGAAGCCGGACTGAGCGGGATTCAGCCGGACCAAGCGGGAGTAAGCCGGATTCGGCCAGAGTTCGGACCAGGGGGAAGGTCAGAATTTGACCTCCCAGGAGTTGCCCCGAAGAAGATGGCGAGGACCAGGCAGGGTCATGACCAGGCCAGGCGAAGGCCGAGGCAGCACCTGCCGAGGCAGGACGGCTCTCTGCCCACCCTGGGGCCCAATTGCCCCGACACCGCGCCTATCAGCGGCACGCCTTCGCCCTGGGCCGAGAGCAAGAAGAAATGGGACGACAAAGGGGGAGCTGCTTGCGAACCGTGGCATGTGTGCAGACGGCGAAGACGAGAATGGGGAGAGGCGGAGACGCAGACGGAAGCGAAGACAGCGAGGGCGGAGATGGCTTAGGAAACGGACGGAGGAGGGCGGAGGCAGAGGGGAAGCGGAGCAAAAGGCCGAGAGGGAGAGGGATGGTAAGAGCAAACGGAGATGCGAAGGCGGCTGATGGAAAAAAGCAGAAAGGGAAAGGGAAGAAGAAGGGAAATGAGAAGAGTGAGGGGAGAACTGCAAGGTGGCATGAGAGTCGGGGCAGGCATACAGCAGGAGGAGCACACGGCAGAGGGGTGGGGAGAAGGGGGAAGGTGGTGGCGAGGGAACAGAGAAACAAAAAAGACCTATGGGGCAAGGTGAAGTCCGGAAGTGAAAAGCGAAAACGGGGCGGAAGGGGGGGAGGGAGGGAGGCGGAACGCGAGAGGGAGGGGGGCATGCAAAGAAGCAGGGCAGAAAGGGCACCGGCACCGCCAACGAGCCTCCTCATCCTAATCCTCCTGCTCACATCTCTTCGCCTCCTCCTCCTCCTCCTCCTCCTCCACCTCCACCTCCTCCTCCTCCTCATCGTCACCACCACCACCACCACCACCACCATCATCATCATCATCATCATCATCATCATCATCATCATCAGCATCAGCATCAGCATCAGCATCATCATCATCCTGATCTTCCTCCACCTCCTACTCGGCCTCCTACTGCTGATTGTCCCTCCTCACATCCACCACCTCGCCCTCATCCTCGTCCAGTTGCGACCGTACTCAGCTTGGCGTTGTCCTGTGCCCCTGAACCCCACACGCACGCGAGGTACACTTGACACTTATGTGAGCGGATTGGGGCGCGACCACAGTCATCGTACTTCGAGTTGGGTGACGCTTGGATTCGCATCGCAGTGGGGGCCATTACACTCCACTCATTGCCTCTCCTCCCCCTCCTGACCTCCTCCCACACCTCCCCCCGGCCGCCCTCTCTCCCCCTTTCTCATGCTCGTCCTCCTCCTCGTCTTCTTTTTCCTCCTCCTATTCCTCCTCATCCTCCTCCTTCTCGTTGACCTCCTCCTCCTCCTCCTCTTCCGCATCCTCTCTTCTCACTCCAGAACGGACACGCAGGTCACCCTACCTTCGGCCCCGCCAAGGGTGGGCGGAGAAGCTGACAGAGCTGACTCGCTACCACGGTGCGTTGCAGTTTCGCAACCACAGCGGTTGATTGACCGCGTCTGCGACACCAAGACCGGCTTACCCCTCAGACGCTCACAACCCCACTTCATGTGATATGCTCTCCTTGCGCGAATCAAAATGCGCGAAACAGGCGGGCGGCTTGGAAGCAAGTAAAAAAGAGAGCCGATGCGTCCACTCTGTCATATTTCAGAGTCAGCTGGCAGCTATGGCTCGGGAGAGCCACGGCCGACCTGGCGATCCGCGTGGGGACTCGCGTGGCGTCAGAGAGGAAACCACCTCCCGAACCCTTTCTGCTGCGGCCTCACGTGCGCACGAAATTGTGTAAGTACACTCCCTCTTTCTCGAGTTCTGGCGGGGGGGGAGCGTACTCCAGATTTCGTAATAAAAGAGAGGGGGTCTGGACCCTCCAAGACAAGCCATTTCAGACCTCCCCCGTGGGAGAACCCTCCAAAACATCGTCCCCAGACCCCCCAGGCCCTCCAAGATAGCCTGGAAGAGACCCCCCCCCGAAATGAGACCCCCCTCCCTCTATTACGAAATCTGGAGTACCATTCCCACCTGACATCCGATGGCTTCCTGAGCGGTTTCCTGGAGCTCGAGTGTGGCCGGCGGAGGGCGACACCGGGCGCGGGGGCGGAGAGGGGCGGAGGTCTGGCTCCAGACCCTCCAGACCTCTGCTCTGTGCGACGGTTTGCACCACCGCGCCCTCCCCCTGCTTGAAGCAGGCGCCCAAACAGCCAAGATCTACTCCAGGGGGGGGGGAGGGGGGGGGGGCGAGGGCCCGCGCCGATCGGCAGAACCATGAGCAAGAAAACGATCACAGTGCCGAAAAGTGCTTCGGGGTCGGTCGCGCCGTCAAGAGGGTGAAATGAATGGGGCGGCGCGGGGAAGGGCCTTGACTTGTGCCACTGAGTGTAAGTCGAAGCATGAGCACGGGCAAACAAGTGCCCGCAGATCCGCCTCTGCTCGTTCTGTGGCAACTCATGGGAGACTCCCACACCATCTTGTTGGCTCTTGCGAATCGACGCTAGTCGACGCTAGATCGACGCTAATCGACGCTAAATCGAACTCATCGACGCTAACTGACGCTACATCGGCACTACCTCATCGACTCTCAGACACTAGTCGACGATCATCGACGCTAAAGACGGAATCAAGAGGGTATACCAGGCTCCCATGAGTTGCTATCGCATGCTCGAACACAAAAACTCTCGCGCGCTCTTTTCTTGCGGAGATCGGGGTGATACAATCCCCCTGCGCTGCATGTGCACGAAGGCGACATACCTACGCACACCATCGAGCGGCAGGACATGCCAGCAGAAAGCGAAAGTGCCAACTGGGCCCAGGGTCAGATGCCGGCGGTTCACAACGGCGGGAACCCTGAAGCGGCAAGCCTGCGAGCGAGGCGGCTTCAAGGCACCACCAAGCATCTTTTCCACACGCAAGGAGTCGCAGCTCTGAAGGAGCCTTACCAAGCCTCAGCAACCTAGCAGAGAGCAGAGTGTACCAACCGGCCCAAGATGCTACTCACGGTGCAAAACACCGTGAGTGAACGTCGGGGCACTCACCTTGGCATCCGCGCGAACGCATCGCACAGCTTCATGCGCTGCCTGCCCCGCCGAGTGCCCGGACGCCTTCTCGCGTCGTGGACGTGAGCGGACGTCTGAGCACTCGACGCTAGACGCAACAAACACACAGAACAGTCCTCGACCCCCACCGCCTGCCCCCCTCGCCGCCACCCTCCACAGCAGAGCCAAACAGCCTGGAGAGCCTCCCCTCCTCCCGCCTACAGCCAGAGGGGGGGACAGCCTGGAGCACCATCTGTGCCACCGTCCGCGGCAGTTCTCGATGCCAGCGATCCACGACCTCGCGGGCGGCGCGGGGAGGAGGAGGAGGGGGAGGAGGAGGAGGAGGAGGAGGAGGAGGAGGAGGAGGAGGAGGAGGAGGAGGAGGAGGAGAAGGAGGAGGAGGAGGAGGAGGAGACGGGGGGGAGGACGAGGAGGGGGGGAGGAGAACGAGGACAAGATCCGTTAGCCATTTTGGCTCCAGCCAGTTGGGCCCCAGCGGCTCGTCTGGAATTGCTCTCTTTGCTGCCCCCTCCACTCACCCACATCATGAGGCGTGGCCACGTGCTGCGACACGGTGACTGCCTCGTTCACTGCCGTGGGGCGGATGCGGCAGCGTCATTGGTTCAGCCTGCCGTGGTTCCGACGTGGGCTCGGACAAACAGGTCATTGGCGCACCATGGACGCACGCAGGAAATGTACGGCTCGCAACAGACATACAGCTAGCCGCCGCGGAGGCATGTGAGCTGCTGGGGAAGCCCACCATCAGCAACGGCGTCCAGGCCAGGCGCGATGCAGGAGTGCAGCTGCCTCCTCATGTCCAGCGCGATGTGCGAGCCTTGGACACAACCTCGACACTTCTACGGTATCCAGGAGGGCCCATGACATTTGTCCTCAAGCTGCGCGAGGCTTTGGACTAAGCATCTCGACGTGATGACGCCATGAAGGCGCAGAAACACATTGACACCAACGCCGCGGAGAAGAAGATGGTGCAGACGGCCAGCCCCGTGCAGCAGCAGGATCATACGGGCAGCTCCCATGGTGAGCACACCCTTATGGGCGAGTTTGGGAACGTGCTCGAGAAGCTCATGCGCCAAGTGCACGGCCTCCAGACAGGTGTTCGCGCTGGCTGTGCGTCCGGGGTCAACACAAACGCGCACACCCACCAGCGACTGCCTATGGATGTGGACGCCTCCCAAACGCTAGGTGCTCTGGCGGAGGAGAGCGCCTCCGCCAAGGCGAAGCAGACACTCGCTATGAGGCGCGATCCCACTCCTGCCAGCTCGCCCCGCCAACTGGAACCAAAGGGTTCGACCATGGGCAGCGTTCGGAGAGAGGCGGGGGCCTACGACGACGTCGAGAACCAACGCTCCGCCAATGGTTCAGCACAGCAATCGTGTATCAAACTATCAGCAAATCTGGGGGTGGTTGGGGGGACACAGGAACCAGCAGGACAGGGAGGGAAAGGAAGGATGAGCAGTGGAGTGACGAGGAGGTAATGACAGTTTGGGGAGGTTCTTGCAGGCTAGATAAGGGTTCGAGTTAACTTGTTTGGGAACAGAAGCGAGAAGTCTGGATACCCTTGTTTTCGCGAGCAGTGAAAAACGTCCCAGATGGCTCCAAGACGGGCCACCGATAGCCCAAGCTACCACCCAAGATCGCGCAAGATTGTCCAAGTTGGACCACGATGACATCAAGCATGCTTCCCCAGAGGCCCCAAGACCGCTCCCAAGAACGTCCTCAAAGGCTCAAGTCATTGAAACATGGTGTTTGATTTATCGGCGCTTTGCCTCCTCCGATAAACTTTTGATGCCTCCGCGTGGCTCGAAGATCGCCAGGGAGCCCCAAGAGGGGCCAAGGGACCCAAAATGGTCCCCGAAAGTCCCAAGAAGCGATGATCGGCTCGAAGGAGCAGCACTGCGGAAGTCTTTGCTTGAACGATAAAGGGCCCCGAGAGCTCCCGAAAAGGGCCCCGGGAAAGTCTAAGATGGCCCCGAAAGGCCTCCATGAGGTTCCTGGAAGTCTCTAGCGTCACAGGCTTTGGCATGCTTACGAAATAGATGCCCATCTAATTCGCAATCATTCACTTCTCCTCTCTACATGGTTCCTGCATGAGCTGGTGAGGACAAGGCGAGAAAGATGAGGAGATGGACTGTCCGCGGCGACGCTTTTTGCCATCCTCGGCCAGGCAGCCTGCTCTTGAGGGGAGGAAGGGGGGAGCGACAGGAAGAGCAGGAGGAAGACGGGGAGGGCGTGGGCGAGGAGGAGGAAGAGGAGGAGAGAGAGAGAGGAGGAGGAGGAGGAGGAGGAGGAGGAGGAGGAGGAGGAGGAGGAGGAGTGTAGGAGGAGGAGGAGGAGGAGGAGGGAGGAGGAGGAGGGGAGGAGGAGGAGGAAGGAGGAGGAGAGGAGGAGAGGAGGAAGGAGGAGGAGGAGGAGGAGGAGGAGGAGGAGGAGGGAGGAGGAGGAGGAGGAGGGTGGTGGTGGTGGGGAGGAGGGGTGGGAGGAGGAAGGGATGATGATGATGATGATGATGATGATGATGATGATGCTGATGATGATGATGATGATGATGATGATGATGATGATGATGATGATGATAATGATGATGATGATGATGATGATGATGATGATGAGGAGGATGAGGATGAGGATGAGGATGAGGATGAGGAGGCGGAGGAGGAGGAGGAGGAGGAGGAGGAGGAGGAGGGGAGGAGGGATGATGAGCGCGCCATAGAGCGAGACGCGGTCGAACCGCGGTCCGCCCGAAGCCCGGGGCCTGGCTCCAGCTGAGGAGCCAGGGTCCCCCGACCGTGAACACGATGCAGCCCACGGGGCCCACGGCATCCGGAGTGGGGACCCTGACCCCCGACCACGACGCCGACCGCGACCGTGAAGAAGCCAACCTCCGAGACGGACGTACCCTTGCCGTTCAGGGGGGCGGCCGCCTGGCCGGCGACACTTCGAGAGCCCGCAGGTTCGCCTGGAGCGCCTGCAGATCCGCCATGAGGATGCCCTCCCTCGCGGTCGGCCGCGACCGCGGCGCCGTTCGCCCCAAGAGCAGGCATGGGTCCCGCCGCCGCCGCGCCCCAGCCCCAGGCATCGACCGCGTCGGTGTCGGTCCTGCGGAGCTGCCGCCGCCGAGCGGGCGGGACCAGGCCAGCGCCGCGGCCCGCTACCAGCCCGTCAGCACTCTCGTCGTCCGGCTCGTCCCGCACTTCGGCCATATCAGCAGCCGGCGCGGCAGCGACCTCCAGGAGACAGAGGCCCGCGGGGGCAGGCTGCGGGCGGCGCCGCCGCCGCGGCCTGCGACCACCCCTACGGCGCCGTCCATCTCGGCGTCACCGCTCGTCACGCCGCCGTCGCCCAGTCTGCATCGGCAGCGGCCACGCCGCCGCCCACAGCACCGCCGCCACGACCACCGCGTTCACGTCGCCGTCGCAGCCTCCCAAGGGCAGCAGCAACGCCAGGAGCAGGCGCGGGCGGCGGCTTGGCGGGAGCCTGAAAGCTCGCCACCGCCGCGCGCAGCAGGCCCTCCGCGGCCGGCAGCAGGCGCAATCCCGACGGGAAGTGGCCTGCCTGCCGCGAGTCCCGCCGCGGCGTGCGTCGCTAGGTGTGCCCCACGGGCTGCTTCCTCGGCGACGCGCTGCTGCGAGAGCGCACCAGGCATTGCCCCGCAGCGAGCGCGGCGCTGCCGCGGCCAAGCGATCTGCGGGTGAGCCAAACGCACTGGGGAGAAGGAAGGAGTAGGAGGAGGAGCAGGAGGAGGAGGAGGAGAGAGGAGGGAGGAGGGAGGAGGGAGGAGGGAGGAAGAGGAGGAGAAGGAGGAGGAGGAGGAAGGGAGGAAGAGGAGGAGGAGGAGGAGGAGGAAGAAGGGAGGAGGAGGAGGAGGAGGAGGAGGAGGAGGAGGAGGAGGAGGAGGAGGAGGAGGGAGGATGAGGAGGAAGAGGAGAGCGCCTGCCTGCTCCTGCCGCCAGAGCTGGAGGATATCTCCCTGAACCCGCCCAGCTCGCTGCCCCTTCTGCCGACGCCGATCTTGTCCCTGCGAGCCTTGCGGCGCGGGCAGCGTATGTAGGCGAGAGGGTACCACTTGACGCGCCCCCTATTCCTCCTCCTCCTCCTCCTCCTCCTCCTCCTTCTGGGGGGGAGGGGTGCAAAGGGGTGGAGGCTCAGATTGGCCTGTTTCCGCGTCAGGGGCGTCACGCCGGCGAAGAGGCGCGAGACAGTGAGGGGGGGGGAGAGGGCCATGCGACGGAAAATGCGCTGCCAGAAGATGGTGCCATGGAAAGCAGGGCCGAGGGCCGGGGAGGCTACGGGGCAAACAAAGGGTGCTGCACAGGAGAGCGTGCGCACATGACCAAGGTCCTGGTCTAGCGAACGGGAGGAACAAACCAAGTTAGATGCAAAGGCACGCGAGAGGAAAGTCGAGGAGAGACAACTACAGGGGGGATAACAGGGATACTATGGAGGACGGGGAGAGGCGAGGAGAAGAGAGGCGAGAGGAGAGGGGAAGCGTTCCAAATAGCGGTGCTCAGAAGCTGAGGTCACATCAGCAGCGGGAGACGAGGAGGGTGCAGAGGGGGAAAGCGGAGGAGGAGCAGCAGCTGGCGGTAGCGGCAGAACAGCACGACGGCCCAGAACGGGCGCTCCTTGAAAGACTCGAGGGTCTCCTGCCGAAGAGGGGGGGGGGCACTCTCACTTCCCACTTCCCACTCCCACTCCTCCTTCACCTCCTCCTCCTCCTCGTCCTCCACCTTCTGCTCGGCCTCCTCCTCCTCCTCCTCCTCCTCCTCCTTTCCTCTGCCCTTCCAGCGCCCCCTCCCGCTGCCTTCCAGCACCCCCTCCCGCTGCCCCTGCCAGCGCCTCCCTCCAGATAGCCTCTCAATCCCACGCTGCCTCCCGCCTCATCCCCCTGGCCGCTCCCGCTCGCTAAGGAGGGGGGAGGATGAGGGGCATGAAGGGAAAGGGGAGAAGCTGGGGGCTCGGTCAGCTGGACCGAAGCCCCTCGCCAAATGCGGCGCCGACCGCCGAGCCCGAGGGC